CCATCCAGGAAAAAGAATCAGGGTCATGATGTCTCATGAGGAAGCGACCCTATCAGTTAGTTGTGGCTTCTGCTCTGTTCTGCATTTCACGGTGGCACCCAGGCGAGGCTGTCACGGTAAGAAACTGAATTCTCACCACTGATTCCAGGACAATGTATAGTGGGGGATGCAGGTCAAACCTGGAAATCTCCATGGCTTTTTTTTTAACGAAGCTTTGTGCAGGACTAAGTAGTCTCAACAGCTGCACCTGAAATCTAAATGCACAGTGCTTGGGAAAGACTCAGGGATGCAGAAATATGCCACAGTGATTTGGCAACTGCTCAGAAAGAACCGAGAGGACCCGTTATGCTTATTTTAGCCATGACCTGGGGGCCCAGGCCACGTGATGCAGATCACCAACGCGCTTGTTGCAACGGTGTGTGATCTGGGAGTTCATTTTCCATTTGGCCTTCAGGTTGCTAATGAGAAGACCGTGGGCCAAAGTGGGAACGCTGGTGAGCATGTGCAAAGAAACTTACACTAAAATCATAAAGAGGTCTTAGCCACAGTATGCCCACCGATTAGGCTGTAAAATGCCTCCCCCCTCCCCCACCCATGTGGACATCTCACCTTTGTGTCGTAAATACCAGGAACTTACTTGGGGAGGGGAGGGCTCCTGGGGCCCAAAGCCGGCACTGCCCAGGAGGAAAGCGGTACTTACGCCAAACATTTGTCGGAGGTCGGGATCCCGGAACCTGAAAGGGATGTTGGAGACGTGTAGCCGCTTGGGCTGGGACTTGTTTTCCGTGTTTTCAGAAGGTTGTGTCTGGGGCTGACCATCCGTCGGCGCCGCGTCATCTGTCTGCTAAAAGAACAAGAGCGAAGGGTTTCTAAGCGGCCCACACGCTCTTTCCAAAGTGCTTCTGCTTCCCCAGAATGGTAGGGAAATGCCAGAACAAAGGAGTCACGGATGGGAAATAACTGCTGGGTCACTCATGCAGTCATTCAACAAGTACTTACTGACCCTCCACTGAGCGCCCCCCACGGATCTGGGATCCAGCAGTGAGTCAAGCAGAGAAAGGGGCCTCCCTGCCTTCATGGGGCAAAATTCTTAAGAGGGGGCAACAGACAAAAACCTCATTAATAAAAAAACAGAGTTGGCAGAAGGAGAAAAATAAAACAAAAGGAGGGACTAGTTGTGGCTGGGGTGGGGTGGGAAGTTGTAACAGGCAATCAGAGAAAACCTCTTTGAGAAAGGGTACAGTGCCCATTTAAGGTAGGAGAGGGTACATCCCTTTGTCAAAGCAGCTCAAAATCTCAAGAGAGACCTCTGTAACTGTTGGGGCTGTGCAAATAAAATATTAGTAAATGTAGTAAAACGCTTGAAAAGGCCGTTTGGTATTCTGCGGGCCAAGGAACCATCTGATTGACTTGAATCTTGTTTTTAAGGTTTTAGCCTCTTGTTTCCTGATTGTGGAGACCTGAGCCCTCCATTACAGTGGATCTCACATTGGCTATTTAAATTTAAACGAACCAAAATGTAATAAAATGTAACAGTCAGTTCCTCTTCTGCACACATTTTCAAGTGCTTAGTAGCCACATGTGGCTAGACACTATGGACACGGCACAGCTCCATCACTGCCGAACGTTCAGGCTGTGTGGGTGTAGGCAATGTTCCACGATTAGCATGAACTCATTACTCTGCCTTCCATTCCCCAACCCCCAACAAAATAAAAGCCTGGATAACATGATATTATATTGATACCCATAGCTAGGCAGGAACTAGGAAACAAGTAATAGTAACATTTGCTTTGATTATAGCCATCCCCATACTCCCAGTTCTAGAGTTTTAACATGTCAGAGATGCTCCGTTTCTAAAAGCTTTCTCTGCAATTAGCACCTGCTGCCTCTAGGTGGCAGTAGATGACACCCACATCGGATAATCAGCTTCTCCGAAAGGGTGATGGGAAACCTACGTGAGAGCCCATCAAATGTATGGGCAACGGCTCATCCTCACCTACTTAGATGCAATTTAGTGTAACTGGGGCAAAACCATCCATGCAGGCATCCAGACGTAAAATAATAAAGATGTAGAAGAGGAAACAACCTCACAGTGACATGTGTAAAATGCATACTACATGTAACACGTATTACATAACATAATGTTAACATATATAACAATATATAATTTTATATAGATATATGTATGCTTATGTAAAATTATATTTATTCTATATTATGTATTATGTAGTACATATATATATAAAGCTAAAATAACACGAGCATAATTGGCAACTTTCTGATCACTTTTTGTATTGATTGGCAGGTTTCATTGCATTCTCCTCCCTAATTTGCCCTGAACTGCATTTTGAACCCAAGACCTCCCAGTGGCTGGCACACTCCTCTTCCAAACTGGTTGGTACCAAAAGCCCCACCAGATGACTTCTTCAACTTTTAGGTGCAGTGTCATGAGGACAGCAACAGTGCGCGCGGCCATTCTGCTTGTGCTGTGGAGTGAATACGGAGGAGGATGGCGACAGCTGTCTAACCTGAAAAATGAGTGATAATAAGAGTGCTCACCCGTAAGGCCCTGGGATGACTGAATGCAATAACAGGCAAACTTGGCAGAGTTGTTGGCACCTGGCATACAGTCAATAAATGGAAGGTGAGGGATTTTTTTAGAGAGATGGTATTTTTTTTTTAAGTGTCAAATATGAGGAGCAAAAAGTCTCTCTTAGAAAACATTAAGGAAAGGTTCTCATTTGCTTATTAAATTCATCTTTCCTGAGCAGCTACTATATATTGGACACAGGTTTGTCCTCCAAATCACATGCAGTTCCCAGTCGAGCGGAAGAGAAAGAGGTACAAAAAGACAAGTGTGATACAGGATATTAAGTGCTGGGATTATGAGAGTGAATCACAGAGGGCAGAGTAAGCTTAAGTCTGGGACACACCCCATAGCTGGAGCTTCTGCAAGACTTGCCAGTTCTGGGGTTAAACTTCGGGTGGGAGACGCCTAAGAGAACAGGGGAAGGAGGCTGTTCCCGCAGAGGGCCAAGCGCATGGAAAAATGCAGAGAGGGGAAATTGTGCTCTGGATTCAGAGGAGTGTGTGCAGACCTGCCTGCAGCTGGTTCCTGGGGCAGGGATAAGGCAAGGACAGGAGCCCATTGCAGAGGCAGGCAGGGGCTGGATCACAAAGGGGCCTGTGCGCAGAACAAGACTATCAGTTTCACACCAAAGCAATGAGAAGCCATTTAAGGACACAGCAGGGGTGTGGCATGACCAGGACATGATACAAAGGCTGAGCCACTGCAGACAAATGATAGATGCCAGATTAATTAATGGCTGGCTGACACCCTGGCTGAATGGGTGAATGAATTATGAGTGTATGAAAAAAACTAACAAATAAGGACTGAATGACTAACTTTGCTACTTTCAAATGGTAGGCAAAGAACAAGATTATAACACTGAGACCCGAGCAGAGCAGGAACTGTGTTTTCTCAGCTGGTAATAGGAGGTTTGGTTATGAGTCCGTGAGCTGGAAATGGCCTTGAATCATGGGGTCGTCCTTTTTCAGAGCGCTCCGTGGTCTCGGTACTCTGACACAAGACTGAGTTTGCAGGGGCAGCAGCCAGGACCCAAGACTCCAGGCCACCTGTTCCCTCCTGGGAGAAGTTGCTGTTCAAATGCAAATTTAAACAAGCATCCTTCTCAGTCCCAAGAAGGAAACTTAGATTTGGACTTGAGCATTAACTGCTGGATGTTTCAGCTTAATAAACCTAATTAGGAATCACAGAGATTATGATTAAACATATTAAATGATTAATAGCATTACGCCGCTCATGTGAAAATTAAAATGAATCATCTTTAGTCAAACAGGACTTTGGAGGAATCTTTGCGTTGTTTCCTTTGATAAAAACATACAACGCTCAATTAATCATTTTGCTGCACGCGCCTATATACAAATGCTCATAAATTGTTAAGCTGCAATACCTGTGTGTTAAAAGGAATTTTTAAAGATAACGAGTTCAGTAAGTAATAAACCAAAAATGTTTCAGACATCGTGGGAGAATGGAAACGGAAAGGACGGGGAGAAATGTCAGGATACAGAGGTTGAGAAAGAAAAATGGAAAAAATGAAATCTTGCAGGCTGAGCACGCATGTGTATACAGCATGATGTCACGCAACGGGTGAGAGTGTAGTGTGGACCCAGCGCAACAGGCGATGAACAGAACGGCTACTACGAAGCCTCAGCCAAGTATGGTGGGGGTTACACTGATGGAAGAGACCCTCACCCACTCTTGTGTTGAGCTTATTGGGGTGTGCATTTTCTCTCTGACTTTTTCTGGGAACTGTCAGGGAAGCCCTCCATATTCAGAAGAAGCCTGTGGGTCATGCCCTTGTGACAGTCTCCTAAAATAACCCAAACCTGGGAGGCTTCAAGCAACAGAAATTCCCCCACTGTCGTGGGGGCCAGAAATTCCCCAGGAAGGTGCTGCTGTCAGGGCCACACTCCCTCGGGAGGCCCTCTGGGGATCCTTTTTCCCCTCTTTAGCTTCTGGTGGCCTCTTAGCTTGCAGCTGCATTTCTCCAATCTCTGTCTCGATATGCACTTGGCCTACATCCCTAAGTGCATCCGAGGCATCGGCATCTCCCTCTGCCTTTTTCTTCTTATGAGGACATTAGTCCTTGGATTCGGAGCTCACCCTAAATCCAGGATGACCTTGTTTGGGGATCTTTAACTTAATGACATCAGCAAAGACCATTTTTCCAAGTAAGGTCACATTCGCAGGTTTATGAAGGTCAGGATGTGGACACAATTCTGGAAGGGCATGGTTCCACCCACTGCAATGTCCTACTAACCAAACAAGCAAACCACAAGTCCATGTAGAATGAGTCACTGTATCAAGGCATATCCACATGTATCCAGGAGTGCATGAACTTTCTACCCCTCCAGGCAGCCTGGGGATCGCAAAGGGCTGGTCTCAAACCAGGTCAGAGAGAAGCGGGAATGTCCCTGCCAGACCTGCCCCAGGCTCCCATCAGTCACACTGGTCACTTTGATGAGTTCCTTAAATAGAGAGAAGATTTCAGTTTTTCCTTCACCAGCCTGGGCTCGGTACCACCTTTCTGCCCCTGCCCCTGGATGCGAGGACGCCCTTTAGCAGGGCTGAGAAACACTCCCCCAGCCTCGTGAAAGGTGCCCAACACTCCAAGGACAGGGGCCTGCCTGTGGGCTCCCAAGCCCAGCACTGTACATCACACGGAGGCATAAGTGATCACAGTGTCCCTGAGAAGTTCAGGGAAGCTCATGGCAAAATCACAGAGTGAAATTTCTAACGACAAAAATAAAATAATGTGAACAAGCTAAGGCACTTGCTAATGGAATGAAACATCTAGAATGTACATTCCCGGAAGGCAGGCACTCCCTGGCTTGTAGTTACCGTCCTCACGGCTGCTGCACGTCCAGGCTTAGTGGAAATGAACAGCTGGAGGAGGAACTCTGAATGTGCCTGTGTCTAGTATTTTTTAAGTCACTTTGGCTCCAAAGTGGAACCCAGCTGAACTGGAAATGAACCTCATCACACTATCTGGGAAGGCAGAAGGTGGGATATAAAAACCAAGCGGACTAATGTGGGTATACTTGCTGAACTATGGGAATACATTAAGAAAATGAAGGATGTCGGAGGTGTAAGTAAGAGGACCAGGCACCTTCCTCCTCGGGACCATCCAGGCCGGCCCTGTGCCCTGGTCCATGGGAAGCAGCACACTCCGGCCCCAGGCCCCTTACTTCCTGACTCTCCTCCCTTCTTACTCACCAGCCTCTTTGCTTTTCCTTTGACATGCTCAGCACGTTCCCTCC